CCTTTGTTAGCTGGCAGGCTGACTGGAGGTAGGGTTAGTTTCTGCCTTTGCTGCTTCTTTTATGAACTGGCTAAACCTGACATACATGCCATAAGATTGTGAGATTAAATCACTTAATCCACATAGGGACAGACTAACTAATAAATGTGAATCTAAGAATGTCAGCCCCATTCTAAGAATTCAATAAATGTTGGATGCTGTGGATATTTTCACCATTGATGTTACTATTCATAATTATTTATCATTTATAGCTAAGCATGTAGGATGTTTCTAGATAGCCTGAACATTCTACCAATGAGAGAAATAAATGTTATTGAAATGCTGCTTTTTAAATCAAATGTCAATATTTTTCTGAAAAAAAAAAAAAAAAAGAAGACTAAATAGAAAATCCTTTTGGTTTCCTGGCTCCTGTCTCTTTCACAACGACTCAGAATTCAGTTGTTACTGAAATGGAACGCTGTTGTGTGATGTCACGGGCAGGCTGTGGCTGTGAGCCTAAAAACTTCAATCAGACAAGATGGACTTGCAGGCTGCCAGCCCCTAAAATAAAAGCAAGAAACGTCTCAGAGCTAGCATTACTTTTACCTGGTGAGGGAAGCTACAGACTTAGTAAGAAAATGTCTGCGATCACGGTGGTCCTGAGGAACGGTGGGCTGGCTTCTCTATGGACAGAGAGAAGCAAGACTGTAGCTCTGGGCATACAGAGAAGAAGCTACACCGGAGCCCATGACTGGCACCCGGTCTGCACAGGGTTGCAAACAGCAGCCATCTCTGAGACTACAGATGTGAAGTTTGGGTGCTTACGTCCAGCATTGACTAGTAACTGAAGGAGAGACTGAGTTCCCTGTGAGAGTGCTAAGAAAAACTTTAAAGGGGACCAGCACCCAAGCCCGAAAGAGGCTGGGACAGTGGGAGGAGTGACACCTCAGAGAGGCCCATGGTCACATGCCTGGACCACGCAGACTAAGAGAAATCTGGCGTAAGGCAGTAAAAGAACTATTCTCATAGCTTGGTAGGAGATTTCTGGAATCCCCAATGGATTAAAAAAAAAAAAGGACATCTAAAAACGAGTATCATTTATAGTGATAGAAGTAAGTTGTAACAGTCTTTCATCGTTGGGAGAATGAGGTGTTGGGACTGATTTGTTTTTTCATTTGAACATTAATCATTTCGCCCTTGAGGTGAAAGGTTATTCCGAACGACAGTGGGTTCTAATGATTCAGCCGTAAGATTCAGAAGAACAGGAGCTATGCCGTTCGGTGTACACACTAACATACATTTCTGAACTTTAGGCCCTCAGGAGCCGAGTAGATGGGGAAATGTTCATGATACACATCTGTGTTTATGGGAACTCAATAGAAGTTATACTTCATTCTATGGAAAGGATTCAGCCACTTCCAATCCATACAACAGCTTCACATGGTGCTCTCTCTCCATCACCAATTGTCTTAAATCTATGATGGAATGGAAACCACATAGCTACCCATGCTCAGAGATCTGTTTGGAATGAGTAAAATCCAATAAATAGCAACTGCTGCAAACATACCCTTTCATCTCTAGCTGATCTACATTCACACAATTTACACACACACATTACAAGTGCACAAAAATGCCTGATTTTCAATTGGCTTACCCATGGAACAGCCCAAAAATTTGTCTCAAATCTCCCTCTTGAGACCCTACTGAAAAGATTCCCAGTAATGTCCGTGCTGCCTTCAGGTTGGCAGGTTTATCTATTGGGTCCTAGAGAGTATATTTACCTAATTGGTCTCTCTGGCATAGAGACAAGTTAAATTGTCCCCTTCCTTGTAGTTATTCGACATTGCAAGGAATTATAGGATACTGCAGAGACAATGAAAAACAAGGCAATAAATCAGAGCATCTGAGTTCTTATGACACAATTCAACAGTCTTTATCTTAGAACCCTATCCACTGATGCAGGGCATGGACACATGCTATTACAGGTTACATACAATTACATGCACTCAATATATACACTGATATATGTATTATGCATATTGTATGTTATCATTTGTAATATATGTTATACTACATATGGTATTATAAATTTATTGGCTCATTACATACAATTAACTTTAAACCTTTATGTTTTGTAATATATGTAATGCACTGATATATGTGTATAGAATCATGAAGATTTTAGATGAATATATACTATTTTATAGTACATAATGAATAAAGGATATATGAATAAAATAAATACAAAATAATAAAATGAATAATAACTTTTTAAAAAAATGAATATAAGATCTAGGTTAGCCGGGTGCTGGTGGCTCACCCTGTAATCCTATCTACTCAGGAGGCTGAGATCTGAGGATTGCGGTTCAAAGCCAGCCTGGGCAGCAAAGTCTGTGAGACTTTTATCTTGAATAAACCACCAGAAAACTGGAAGTGGTGCTGTGGCTCAAGTGGTAGAGCACTAGCTTTGAGCTGAAGAGCTGAGGGACAGCGCCCAGGCCCAGAGTTCAAGCCCCAGGACTGACCAAAAAAAAAAAAAAAAAAAAGATCTAGGGTGATAATGATATACTCCTGTGCCTTCGACAGTCAGGATACTGAGGGTATAAGTTTGGAGCCTGAGAGAGAGATAGTTGATAGCTGGATATTAGATGATACACCCTATTCATTATAAAGTCTAGTAAAATAAACTTTTAAACAAGGCATTTCACAGATGCTGCTCAATAAAGGAGCAGGAACACCACCCTGTGCACCTTTCTATCCACTGGGAAGAAGCTGAGGATGGAATGAGTGTGCTGTGATGGAATGCAGATGCAGCTGTGTGTGAAGACCTGGTCTGCTGTTGAGTGCCCATGAGCCCTGAACAGCTATGCACCCTGCTTGTGTCTGTGCTTCAATCAGTGGCCTGTCCGCGTCTGTGTTAGCCTAGCATGTGGATGGTTTGAGTCTTACCTCATTTATATATTGACAAAGGTTTCTAGTCCTTCGCAAACCAAGAAAGAGCAGCATGGAGTCCACGAGCGCACATACACACACTGCCACCTGTTATTAGATGATCTTGTTCATTACTGTGAAGTAGTCAGACAAGAAAATCAAGATAAAGTTAATCTGAACCTTTCAAAAAGAATCATGCAATTCAGAATTGGGAAGGTCTCTAAAACCCAGTCAGGGGCTGGGAAGGTGGCTCAGTGGTAGAGTGCTTGCCTTGCATGCATGAGACCCTGAGTTCGATTCCTCAGCACCACATAAATACAAAAAGCCAGAAGTGGTGCTGTGGCTCAAGCGGTAGAGCACTAGTCTTGAGCTGAAGAGCCAAGGGACAGTGCCCAGGCCCAGAGTTCAAGCCCCATGACCAACCAAAAACAAAAAAACAAAAACCCAGTCAGGCCTCCTTGTAATACAGAAGCAGACATCCAGAGAAGAGATAGGGATTTTCACTTAGGGTAGCTAGCAGCAGGAGTGGAATGGAACTCAGCTGTCTTCTCCCACCCTTCCAGGCTTCTGTTCCACTTCCCACCTTTGAACAACATGGCTCACACATCTCTATGGTGCTGGAGGACAGCGCGATGGCTGAGTCCCCTTTCCACTCCAAACCTGTGTTCACCAGAAACTCCATAAAGGGTGGCAGCAAGACCCGGAATGTTCCAGGCCGGGGGTTCTATTTCTGCAGCTGCTGTTCAATACCCTCCTTCCCCCCTCTCCCCAACCCCCCCCCCCCCCAGCTTGCCAACGTGACTGAAAATCTAAGAGAAACTACCATGATGAAGAGCATTCTTGCTCGGACCAGAAAGGGTAAGCCTCGTGGAAGAAACACAATGGCATGCTTCTCTAAAGTCATCTTAAAAGCCGGTGTGCTCTGGGGCTCTCTGGATCCATTTGGGGTAAGATTGGGCTCTCTGGATCCATTTGGGGTGAGATTGCACCCGAAGCTCCTGCGCCCGCAGCAGGCCTCTGTATCCGTGACTGTGGGGTAAATGCGCACGGGGCTCGCGGCACAGCATGGGGTAAAAATGCACCGGGCCTCGCAGCACAGCGTCGGGTGGAAGCCACGGGCCTCGCGGCACAGCCAGGGCCCCTGCAGCACAGGTTTTCTCCGCGGGCGCGAACTCAGGCTCAAAGTGCAGGAGCACTGGCCTTGCTCCACCGGGGCCGGCTCGGGAGGAGCCCCGGCCTCTAGTGTCCTGGGACACGAAAACACCCCACCAAAGGTGGGCCAGGCCGACTTCGAGCCAGACGAAATCCAAGACAAGACTGGCGTCCCACGCCCAAGCCCGGTAAAAAGGCCTGGCCAACGTCCCCCTCCTCCCCTCCCCTGCCCCGCCCTCCCCGGCCCCGCCCCGTCCTGCCTTCCCCTCCCCCGCGCTCCCCTCCCCGGCCCTTCCGCTCCCGGACCGCCTTGGGTGCTTGCAGATGCCGTGGATGCCCCTCTCCGTGGGCGAAGGTCGCTGCCGGGACACCTGGAGGAGCAGCCGCGGAAGCCAGGGGTGTGGGAGCCGCCGGAGCCCTCCGGGGACGTGCGGGGCGGGGCGGGCGCCCACGCCGAGGGCAGCAGCGGGCGGGAAGTCGAGCGCCCCGATCCTCCCCGGCCCCCTCCGCTCCCCACCCCGGCGCGGCCTGGCTCCTCCCCCCGGCTCCCCGACGCGGCTCGGAGCCGCCGGGGCTGGGACCCGCGCCCCGCCGCCGCTCCCGCCCGCTCGCCGCCCGACCCCGCCCCGGCGCTGCTTGTCTGTCTGCCTCTCTCGCTAGCTAGCTCGCTCTGTAAAGCCCACTTGCCTTTGACTCTGGACCCCGGCGTCTCTCGCTCTTAAAAGTGAACCCAGTCCAGCCGCCGGGCACCGGGGACGCAGGCCGCCGCCCTCGGGGCGCAGGGGCGCCGGGGCTGCTTCCCGCCGCGGAGGCGCTCCCGGCCGGTGTCCAGCGCGGACCAGTCGGTGCTCGGGCATGGGTTGAGCGGGGTCCGGCGGAGCCGCGCCTGGCGGTCTCGGAGGCGCGCGGGGGCGCGCGGGGTCCGCCGCCCGAGGACCATGGCTGCTCCGCTCAGCAACTCCAGCAATGGCTCGGACGCGTGGCCCGAGGCGCTCAACTCCACGGCGGCGCGCGGCGCTCCAGGCGTCCCGGACGTCGCCCTCTTCTGCGTGACGGGCGCGCTGGCGCTGGCCGCGCTGGCAGGCGGCGTGGGCTCGCTGGCAGCGCTGCTGCCCGTGCCTCGCCGGGGCGCGCTGCCCGCGCTGGTGGCCGCCTGCTCCGTGGACGACCTTGTGGGCGCCGTGGCGGCAGGGCTCTTCCTGCGCCTGCAGTGGCCCCGCGACGCGCCCGGCCACGCGCGGCCCCTGTGCGCCGCCGCCGCGCTGCTCTACACCGGCCAGGGCCTCTCCGGGAACCTCAAGGCCGCCCTCCTGGTGGGATATAGCTTCGTCAGCCTGCGCCGGGCGGCGGGGACGCCGGCGGGCTGCCGGGGCCGTGGCAGGGCGCTGGGCGCGGCGCTGGGCGCGGGCGCTGCGGGCCTGGGGCTGGCCGCGCTGCCTCTGGGAGGCTGGGGCGCCTTCGAGCGCACGGCCTGGGGCTGCCGCGTGGCGGGGCCCGCCGTGCCGCCGCTCTGCGCGCTCTACGCTGCCGCCCTGGCGCTGCTCGCTGGCCTGGCCGGGCCACTCGCGCCGCCGCTCCTGTGCTCCGAGGCGCCGCCGCGAGCCCAGGCCCAGTACCGGGCGATCGCCGGCGGCGCGTCCGTCCCGGACTCCCCTCCGCCAGGGCGCCGCGCGGCCTCTGACCCGGGGTCCCCGCTCGCGTCTCCGGGACCTGGCCCGCCCGACGGCCCCCAGGCCGGAGCCCGCGAGCGCCAGAACCCGTGGGACAGCCGGAGCTTCGAGCGCAGCGTGGCGCAGCGGCGCTTCGCCCTCATCCTGGCGCTGACCAAAGCTGTCCTGTGGCTGCCCATGATGGTAAAGGCTCGGGGAGGGCGCAGGCGGGGGGACCCGCGGCAGGAGCCCTTGGCCTGGGCGGAGGGGCGCGCTCGGGGCCACGGGCCCCCGGGGTGCGGCGCTGCGGGGCGCCCGTGCCCCTGGGGAGTTCCGCGCGCGTGGGGCGGGGAGGGAGCGCGCGGGCGCGGCGGTAACTCTCGGACGGCGCGGGCACAGGACGGCGAGCTCGGCCTCCTCTCCCCACGGAGTCCGCCCAGGCCCCTGTGAACCCGCGGGCGGCCAGAGCAGGAGCCTGTCAAGGCCACATAGGTAAGGGGCGGGCACGTGGCTCCACCTGCGATCCCAGCTCCTCGGGAAGCGGGGAGCCGAGTGTTGCACGCGGGCGGAGAAGTCTGAGGCTCCGGAAAGCCGCCCGAATCTGAAGCGGAGCTGTGGGTCAAGTGGTGGAGCGCCAGCCTTGAGCAAAGAAGCTCGGGAATGGTGTCTAGGTCCAGCGTTCAAGCCGTAGGACACAGACAGACAGAGACAGACCGACAGACAGATAGACGGACAAAATTAATGGGGAAAGCAAAGGAAAACAAAGATGGAAGGTTTTCCTTCCCGCCTCCTCTTGCCTCTTTCCCTCTGCCTGTTGAAGAAGCCCCGGCCCCCGCTGGAGGAGAGGCAGGGTACGGGGGAGACGACGTCCATGCCAGCCCTGGCCAGCCCGGGAGGGGGCTGCAGCGCCTGCGTGGGGATGAGGGCCGCGTGGGGATGAGGGCCAGGGATGAAGGGGAATTTGGAGACGTGCACAGTGCCCCTTCCCCGTGACCCCGGCTGGGGGCGGAGTGACCCCATCTGTGGGGGGGATGACCCTGGCTGGGCGGGGTGACCCTGGCTGGGGGCGGGGTGGACCGGCCCCCTTGCTGATGGAGTGAACGGTACGGGCCGGGGTCGGGAGCGGAGAGCTCGGGGACCCTGGCACCGGGGCGCTGAGCCCCAGGCCGGCCTGACCACCGCGTGTCCGCAGGCGCACATGCTGGTGCAGCACGCGGCAGGGCTACGCAGCCCGGGCCTGGAGACACTCGGCTTCCTGCTAACCCTGCTGGCTGCCTCCGTGACACCACTGTTCGCGCTGTCCGGGCGCTGGGCACACCTGCCCTGCGGCTGCGCCGTCGACTGCGGACGGAACCCATACACCTCAGCCTCAGACGGGAGGACCGGTGAGTGCCCCAGCCTGGGGCCCGCCCAGGGGCGGCCCCACGGGAAACACGGGGCGGCCCCACGGGGAACACAGGGAACACGGGGTTGCCCACAGGAAACACGGAGAACACGGGGTGGCCCCATGGGAAACATGGGGCAGCCCCACGGGAAACACGGAGAACACAGGGTGGCCCCATGGGAAACACGGGGCGGCCCCACGGGAAACACGGAGAACATAGGACCCCCAGGCGGGGCGGAATGAGAATATAAGCGTCGTGTGCAGCGACTGCGCGTGGCCAGCGGGCAGGGTGGGTGGACTCCCCTGCGCGGAGCCCCCAAAGCTGTTCCCACATTAAAAATCTAGAGTGTTCTTCGCTATGAGAACGCCATGGCCTAACACCAACCAGCCAAAAAGGTCCGCCTGGGTCTGAGGAAGGCTCGGAGGCCTTCGTTGTTCGGTTGGCACGGAACCCAGCCAGGCTCCTCAGTCTGTCGTTTTGCATTCTCGGGAGCGTGCCTAGCCTAGAACTAGGACAAAGCTCCACAGCGCGGCAGCCCAGGATCCCTAAACCTGGAAACCATTCCGAGAGCTGCGCACTTTTACCTGCTACCAGTTAGACAACCCGACAGAAGTTAGGAATTCCTAGATCTGGTCACTCACTGTGCTGTATTAACTGTCTCCTTCCTAGTCCTTTGCACAGCCGGGCCCTGGCGGCTAGCGCCTGTCATCCCAGCTACTCAGGAGGCTGAGACTCGAGGATCAGGGTTCAAAGCCAACCTGGGCAGGAAAGATCCAGAGACTCCTATTTCCAGTTAACCACCAGAAAACCGGAAGTGGAGCTCTGACAGGGTGTCAGCCTTGAGCAAAAGAGCGCGGAGACAAGTGCCCATGCCTTGAGTTCGAGCCCCTCAACCGGCACAAAACAGAACAATCCTTTGCTCAGAATAAGCTAGCGCATGATTCTTGCACAAAGAAGATGAGATGAAAGCAGTTCACCCAGGGCCATTTTTCAGTTGCAGAAGTTAATATCCGTGTACAGTCAGCAATCAGCTTCATGGCAGAATTACTTTAGAAATTTTCATGACCCGCTGACCGCGCCGCTTGTTTCCTGTTCCCCCCTAGCCAAGAGGAGAGGCTTCGAGTTCAGCCTGTCCTTCCAGCAGAGCTACGGCATCTATCGGCTAGCGCGGGACGAGGACTGCGCCCAGCACGGCCCGGCCCCGCCCGGCGCGGGCGGCCCCGGGGCTGACTCCAGAACGCACCGCCACGCCGCGGGCCGCGCGAGCCCGGCGGGGATCAGCACCGGACCCGCGGACAGCGCCGCGCGGGAGGAGGTCAGCACCGGACCCGCGGACAGCGCCGAGCGGGAGGAAGTCAGCACCGGGCCCACGGACAGCGCCGCGCGGGAGGAGGTCAGCACCAGGCCCGCGGACAGCGCCGCGCCCGGCGGCCGCCTGGCGGACGCGCGGGAGCCCGGCAGCCGCCCGGGGCCAGGCGCGCTTCCCGACGAGGCCCAGGGAGACGGCACCCCGCGAGACGGCCCGGAGAAACGACGGTCGCCTGAGGAGAGCCAGAGGCCCGGCCTATCCGACTGGGAGTGGAGCCGGAGCAGATCGGAGAGGACCCCGCGGCAGGTACAGTGCTGTGGGGACGCGCGTGGCGTGGTGGAGGATACGCAACGGCACGGTAGGGGGCGCGCGGCGGGGGTGCGCACTGCGCTGTGGGCACGGCGCGGACCGAGCACCGCCTGCCCCACTGACCTCCGCCCTTGGTCTAACAATGCACGGCCCTGCGGTGGCGGTCCAGTCTTGGCGCGGCCCCAAGGCAGCAGTCCTGTTTTGCGCGGCCCCTGGGGGTGGGCCCACTTTTATGGCCGGTGGGACGATTCCCTTCCGGATGTTGTCTTGGACTCGACGCCATTAGGGGATCCTGCCGGGCGGACAGGTGCTGGCTCTGGTGTCACGCACCCTCCTGGACCAGACCAGACCCTGGGAACCCAGGCTTCGCGCTCAACTGTATAGCCCCCAGGGTCCGCTCCTCTCCTGCCACCCTGAGACATCTGGGGAGTCCAGAGAGAGCCTCCCTAAACAATCCTGGCAGTGCAGAGAGAGCCACCCTGAACAATCCTGGGAGTCCAGAGAGGGCCACCCTGAGACATGCGGGGAGTTCAGAGAGAGCCACCCTAAACCATCTGGGGAGTCCAGAGAGAAGTTTTCTTCTTAACCCAAAAGGGAATATTCAAAAATCTCTGGTGGGGAGAGCTGGCGTGTCCTCAGCCACAGCTCCCAACCTGCCTGTCTGCTGCTTCCAAAGCCAGATTTATTCCAGAATGCACCCTAGGGAGACACAGGTGCCCTGCCACTTAGCCCAACCTCTTAAGTAAGGGGACAGGGGCTGGTAGTGTTTCTTTCAAAAATGGAAAGGGTTTGCACATAGTTTTATCTCATTCTCCCTCAGATGCCAGCCTGCTGAAAGTGATCAGCTGAAAGGCTCTTCCCTTTTTGCATTCAGTTTGCAGGGTGGTATTGATACGTAATTGTTCTTTCCTGCTACCTTGGGTCTGGTCATTAAAGTTCCCTCTGTCTTCCTCACTACTGATTTTCTGGGTAAGAGAAGCTTTTACCACGTGATTGAGTGGCAGTCTGTGTTTCCTTCTACCTGCTCTGCAGGGTCAAGAATGTAATTCCGGAAGTATTAAGATAGGAAGAGGCATTCATTGATGAAGGGGTTGGCCACCGGTTACCAAGTATTATTAAAAAGTAATCGGAATGTGAAGCAAAGCACGCACAAGCACACACACACACATTCACATTATTAAACAAGATGACGGTTATACTATTTAGCAGTTAGGAATTTCAGAAAATACCACTATTTGCCAGGGAAACTAGAAGTCAGATGTTGCATATTTTTAGAACAAGATGATTGGAGGAATTCCACTCCATCATCACCGACGTGGCTGGTGTCCTGATGGTGTCCTTGCCCTGCAAATCAATTGGTATTCACGTGGAAAGGGTTGCTCTTGGGGGTGGGGAGGAGACTCTCCACTGCAGCTGTGCGGTGCCCTCTTCCCTCCCCTGCTCAGTTCACAGTGATGGAAGATCTTGCTTCTCATTGATCAGGAGAACATGCAGTTCTACCCTCCCTTCCCCAAGATGGCGCTGCCCGGAGGCAGCCTCCGGGAATGTTGTTGTACTCAACATTGCTTAAAAATAACTCCATTTCTTAAAATACATCTTGTCAGAGTATTGAGAATTGTCATTTAAGTTTCAGTTATGTTTGTAAAGTATGAACAATTGAATTTCCCTAGAAGAATAAGATAGAATCCATCAGAGTTCACTTACATTATTCTGTTCTATGAGAATGGCAAACTACGGCTTGTTCCCATATCCTCCTAAACTAAAGAAGTGACTGTGTGGAACACATGAACTGCCCTCAATCAGGTTTTCCCTCCACCATAAATAATTCACTTTTCTAGTATTCTTCTATTGTAAAGTCTGACGAAACATTAATATTTTAACCTCTGTGGTAAGCAATAGGAAAGAAAGTGGTTGAAAATAAATAGTATTTTTTAAGCAGTAGTAAGGAATCATTAAATCATGGTGTGTGTGTGTGTGTGTGTGTGTGTGTGTGTGTGTGTGTGTGTGTGTGTGTGAATGCATGTATGCGTGTGAGTGTGTTGTGAGTGCGTGTGTGTGTGTGTGTGTGTGTGTGTGTGTGTGTGTGTGTGTGTATGCTATGTGTGTATGCCTGCCCTGGAGCTTGAACTCAGGGCCTGGCCACTATTTCTGAGCTATTTTGCTCAAGAATAGCAGCTCTATCTCTTGAGCCATAGCTCCATATGTGGCTTTTGGGTGGTTAATTAGAGATAAGTCTCACATATTTTTTCCCCCTGGGCTGGCTTTGAACTGAGATCCTCAGATCTCAGCTTCCTGAGTAACTGGGATTACAAGTATGACTCACTGGCACCCAGCTTAAACCATGCATGTAATGAAGTTGTTGGCCTGATACAGCCCTGGCAAAACTGTTTGTGGTCTTTAAGGCTACCACTAAATAAAATTGCAAAGTATTATTATTTTTGTTTACAATGCAATGATACCTTTAAAATGATCCTAACGTGTTAATGGAATGTATTTGGAGTTGACAAGCCTATGAGAGCCTTCCTTTAGCCAAACAGGCCTTCACTGGTAAATATGCCGACTCAGCACAGGCTATATGCAGCAGAAGTGGAGGGGAGTTTTTGCCCCTTTCTTCAAGGAGACGGAAGCTGTATTTTCTTCTGAAAACAGTGTCAGCTCGTATAGCAGTAACAGTCCAAGCTTTAGAATATTGCAGTCATAGTACGAAAGCCTTAGCTATTGGGTTTCTGTGGCTCTATTTCTAAACATTTAGTCTGTGTTTCTGAGCTTGTGTCTGAGGATACTAGGTTGACTACTGTTATTTTTGTTCTTGTGGTGGTGGTTGTTTTGCTAGTACTGACATTTGAACTCAGGGCCTCATTCTTGCTCAGCTTCCTGGCTTAGCCAGCTCTCTACTTCTGCCATGCCTTCAGGTTAGCATTTTGCTGCTTATTTTGAAAATGGAGTCTATTGGACATTTTTTTGCCTAAACTTCCTTTGAATTATGATCCTCTGGGTCTCAGTCTCTACATAGCTGGTATTACACATGGGAGCCACTGGTACCCAACAAGTAGTTTGTTTTTGTACTGAATATTTAAAAAAATAATAGATTTGATTTTTAAGTGTATTTTATGAGCTCTAATTGATTTACACAACATCTTGCTTAATCTTTATTAAAGTTTATATTAGTCAGATTCTCTGTATCTTGACGGAACTTATGGTCAGAATGAAATGTCACATCAAAGTTAATGAGTATAAAATGATGTTACTATAATATAATCACTTTCAGAGATTTGAATAATGTCTGGTAGAATGCATGAATTGAGGGTGTTTGTAAGACTGGAATTCAGGGCTAAACTTGATACATAATTCCTTCTTTAGGAAGAATAAATACTTCATGGTTCACTGTTGAAATGTCTGAACGAATTACTCAGAAATGTTTGTCAGTTTAAAAGGTTTGGTATAGTATGATCACTAATGTATGACTTTGCTTCTGAGAGAAATGATGGTTTCTAGAACCCCCTGTGATTAATGATCATCTATGAGTGTGGAAAACTGAACTTAAGATAATTTATTTTTATTTTTGTATTTTTTGTGCATTTCGGAGCTTGAACTCAGGTCCTTCGTGTTATTCTTGCACTTTTTTGCTCAAGGAGAGCATTCTGCCTCTTGAGCCACAGCTTCACTTCTGTCTTTTTTTGTTTTTCATAGTTAATTAGAGATAAGCGTCTCAAGCGCTTTTCTGGCTTTTCTGATTGGGCTGGCTTCAAATCATGATCCTTGGATCTCAGCCTCCTAAGTAGCTAGGATTAACAGGTGTGAGCCACCATTGCCTGGTTGAACTTAAAATAATTTAAAATATTTTTTTCTTGTTTCAGTGATAAACTCAAAATTATCCATGAATCTGAGTGAAGTGGTTCATGCCTATAATCTTAGCTACTGAGGAGTCTGAGATGGGAGAATCATGGATCAAGCCCAGCCTTGGAAAAGTGCCCATGAAACTCCTTCTCAACCAAATAACTGAGTGGGGCAGTATGGAATGGTCATCCTTGATAAGGCAGGAAGCCTAAAACAATAGGATGAGAGTCCACAGGGGCCCATGCAGGACATCATACCTTATCGTAAAAGCACCAGTGCAGAAAGGGCTGGGGGTGTGGCTCAGAGGTAGAGTGCCAGCCTCCCTGAGTTCAGATCTCCGCATCACCCACATAAGTGCCAGGGGATGCCAATTGATTTTCTTTGGATATCTTCTCCTAGGGTTCTAAAATTCCATGCATCAGGAGCAAATACATTGCATCCCTGCCACGCAGATACATCTATACATGCACGATACATCTCTACATGATGATACATGCGTGATTATGCCACCAGAAGTGTGAAAGGACTTCCTTCACCCTGACAGTGGAGTAGAGAACACAAACTCTGAAGCGAAGCAGGAGAAAGTGGTTGTGTTTGAGTCTGACCACAGACACTCAGCCTTAGGAGTAAATAAAGCCAAAAGGAACATGCTTTTTACTCACTTGAGAATAAATCTTTTTTTTTAATTTTGAGGAAAATGTCTTCTTTAAAAAATAAGTTTACAAAGCAATTCATTGTCAGCATCTGTTTCTATAATTGCTTAGAAAGCACTATTATTTTCCTAATGAGTTTTTATGGAATAGTAAAGTAAGTAGCTTAAAGTTAGCTGGACTTTGTATATACATATGAGTTAAATGGTGATTATGAAAATACTTATAATCCTAGTTACTCAGGAGGCTGAGATCTGAGGATCGAGGTTTAAAGCCAGTTTTGGTGGGGAAAATCGGTGAGATTGTTATCTCCAATGAGCCACACAAAAGCTGGAAGTAGAACTGTGATTCAGGTGGTAGAGCACTAGCCCTGAGCAAAAAAAGCTCAAGGACAGTACCTAGTTCCTGAGTTCAAGACTCTTGACTGGCACCAAAAAAAAAAAAAACACACAGAAAAAAGAAAATTTGGGTTTTGGCCCTACTGACTATTTAGCTGTAGTATAAGAACAA